CTTTGTTGAAGCAAACTATTACTTAAACGGAATAAAATAAACTGAGTAATTATTTTTCTTGACTGTACAATAATATTTTTCTGTGTGTAGCAAAATGTGTGGTAAAATTTGAAAAACTCTCACAAAGTACTTCAAAATGCCACGTTGTCCCACGATTACATGATTTTCAGGGTAAATTTAAAAACTACTCCATTATAAGATCAAGATATTTCTCTCTCAATATTGCGATTGTCGCGAGGTCGATCCACGATAGACGGAAGCGCAATTGGATCCGGAAGTCTTTTCCGTGGATGCGGAAGAAAACCGCGCGCTGCAAAACGGCTCACCTTGGTGTTGAAGATCCGCGTCTTCTTGCCGTTCATCTGCACGATCAGCTTCTCGTTCATCGCCACCTCTCTGTAAAGCAACAAGCCACGTTATCATTATTGCCGGCATCGACCTGGCCCGCAGCTACGTCGCGACGTCGCGACGACGGACGTAGCGTCGGGATCGAATTCGGAAATCGACGCGGACGCGGAATCGCGTGAACGCGTTCGCCGCGTGGTCCATAACGCGCGCCAGTCGATACCCACGGTGACACAATTGTGTCGCGTGCTGTCAATAACGTTCGACGACGGAGCCTGAATCGGACAGCGGCTGTCACTTATCGAGGCTTTTTACGTTTGAGGCGACAAAATAATTGAATCCGTCGGATTCTTCAAACGGGATGTTGCTCCGAGATCCTTATTTCCTCAAAAATGACGCGACTATTATGTAGAAGCACTTTGTCACCGTCATTGTTAAACGCACGTTACTATTCCGCGTTAGGTCTAAGGGCGGATAGGGGAGGGGGGGAGGCTCCTACCTGAGGATAATAAATTTTAACATAGAAATCTCTTTAAGTTGCCAGTAATAGATAACAATAATCAAGCTTTTTTACACGCCTCAGTGGTCGAATTGGTGAGACGCCCGCCTACACTCTCAGAAAGGATTTCTGTTGCCGAGACAATAAATATTCTTGACGCATTTACATTTCTCACAACCGCATTTGGTATAAAAATAAGACAATACCACCATAAAATCAATAATTCTTATTCTCCTCTGTTGAATTACAAAAGATTGACTTACTATATTGAGACAACGCACGAAGTTGGCACCTCGATATTTGAGAAAAGACGACACGTACTATCATTTTATTCTGGATTTCAGAATTTTTCATTTAAGATGAAAATATTCCTTTCTCTATAATAAATATGAGTGGCGCTAAATCGACCCTATTTTATGATACATTCAAGTGTAATAGCATTGGATCCGGAATTTTTTTCTGTGGGCGTAGAGAGTAGGGAAGTCCAGGTTCAAAGCCTGGCTGAGGTAAGAATAGTTCTTCGCAATAAATTTTCTGTATTAAAACACTGGCCGGTTAATGTCGACTAAAAAGCTTGATTACTGATAATATAATTCTGTACTAGATAAAATTGACTCGAAAAAATCACAATTTATAGAAAAGGTAACAAATTAAAATAGGAAGCAGAACTGGAGTTTGAATCTCGAGCAACCGTTCAACGGGTTTAAATTGGATTTTTAGACTTGCGTTCCAATCGGAAACATTTTCTGGATCCGCCTGTATGCCCTTGGTGAAACGGCTGACTTGTGTACCTGCGAGACAACGTTTTATGCTCTATAAAGTCTTTGTTTCAAGTAACCCGCAAGTTTGCATCTCAAGTAGTAAATGTATATGCGAAGACAATGTTCGCGAGGAATAAGTATGTATCTACGTAAACGCGCGACAGCAGCAAATTTTACTATACAACTACTAACGGATGAATATTTTATAGACACGCGGAATGAAAAATGTAGCTGCCATAGCTGAAACCTGCAGGTGGCAACTAAATTTCAGTTGTAAAATATGGACAGCCAATATTTAGTCATGATAGCTAAATATTTTGCCACTGTATTGTATTAGGTGCGACAGCAAACCGTTTCCTGTGCTTTAGAGATTTATAGTTTTGGAAGCAAAATATTTTTAGCGAACCATGATTGGCACGGAGAGAATTTTCTCTTACATGATATTTCGGAGTTTTTTTTGAAATTTTACCATGACTAGTAAACTAGTAAAATGTGTACTAAGTATAATTACTAGTAAAATGTATGGTAAAATTTCAAAAAAACTCTCATAAAGTTCTTCAAAATGCCACCTTGTTTCTCGATCATATGATTTTCAGGATAAATTTTAAAATAAAAGTAAAGTACAGCCCGAACTACAATGCGCTCTCTGCGTCTAGAAACATTCCATTTTATTGCGGCCGACAAACACGTTTCAAAAATTTGCGCAAGTCGATAACTTGTACATTGTACACCGATACATTTTTTAAGCGCGTCGATTTGCTCATTAGCCAATTTTTTTTTTCAGTGCGCACTGGTCCGCGTATCCCGAACCCTCTTTTATCAATAAAAACGCCTCTAAGAGTGACTGATAAGCCTCCTGATTGGTCACTTTAGAGGCACTTTTGTCGATAAAAAAAGGATGCGGAGCACGGGCCAATGTTGTTTTGAAATTATAAATCGGCTAAGGCCCTTACTTGCCGGTCACAAGGGGAATGGAGTTGAAACTGACAAGCGTATTCGAGATCGAGAGATGCGGACAGGTTTCCCGAGTATATGAGAAATGTTAGCGGGTTTGTGCGAAAGAAACAAACGCCGCGGCTTCACCGGAGCGACGGGCTTTTTCGGGTTTAATTCAGCAGCGAGTGATTACTTTTATAACTGGGTCATCGACGTAAAGTCCTTTCTGAAATTTCAGAGTGAGGGATGGCTCGAGACTCGCTCCTCCGGCCCTCGCTTAAAATGACCGAATTAAAATGGCAGCGGAGAATCCACGCGGATAAAAGTCGAGGCAGAGTCTCCATCTTATTTCAGACTCGTTCGTGAATAAAATACACTTGCGCGCGAGTGTCTAACGGCAAGACGCGAATTTGCAACCCGGGGCAGACGGGAAGAAGATGAAAGTAAAAATAAAAGGAACTTCACATCGGACGCGCGGAAATGAGTCATTTCTCGCATCGATCCTTACTCTCGTCCCTCCGATTCTTTTCTACAAGATCTAGTCATTCCGACGATGACGAATCCATTCTCAATCGTATTCACCGCGCGCGCATGCATCATCCTTTGTATTCAATGACGCGTTGCGTCAATGATTCTGCCGGCGATTGTAATGTCCATATGGGCTGCAACGCGAAGGAACGTCGTCCACGGGAGATGTTATTGACCGCAAAAATAATTGCGTAATAGTATCGACTGGCGGCAACGCGTACGGGCGGCGCGACGGAATCTAGGATACGTCCGAAGGAAACGTTGGAGAAACTGGAGCGTCTCGAAGACGTCACGGCGCGAATTCGGGCGCGACGGCGCGCGTCGCGACGCGTCTTAACCCGTTGCTTACGGGCGGAATGGCCGACTTGTGTGATTTCGTGACGACGCTCGTAAAACAATTGCGTCCCACGTTTATTAAAGATCCGATCTGCAACGCGCTCCCCGCGTCTAGAAACCTGACATTTATACTGTGTATCCGATATAAACGCGTTTCAAAAATTTGCGCCAGTCGACAAACTCGTACGTTGTTCGCCGAAATATTTTTTTTTAAGCGCATCGATTCGCTTGTTACAAAATTGAGTGTCTGAACACTTGAGGTAAAAATTTATTGCGCGTCACTTACGACAAAGGACTCGGAGCGCAAGGTACTGTTAATTTGTGGATAACAAGGCTTTACTTATTTAACAGACAAGCATTATTATTCGACCGCAGCTGGCTGTGAATTTAATTCGAAATACTCGTTGCGAAAAATGTGACCTCGGGTTTATTCATTGAAAACGGTATATAATAACTAACAGCGCTCGTTTTCGGCCCTAGACTCTCTTGTTATCGCTTGGGCGCTTAAACGAATGAGCTTTTAATGTGATTAAAACATTGTCTTATCTTAAAGGTACGGCCATTCTACCAGGCCCTTAGCCGTGGGTTCACGTGTAAGTGCATTTGACTGGACAATTCTCTCTCTCTCTCTCTCTCGCTCGCCCGCTCGCTCTGTGTCTTTGTTTCTCTCTCTTTCTCACCGTCGACCGGAACGGAGTGCGAGAGGGAAACCTTCTGTACGCAGATGGCTCAAAGCGGAGCCGAAGCGGCCGTTTTACGTATTACAACGTTAACACGGGAACACAACACGCTACAAACGCCGTCGTACTCCCGCGTTAATTCAGTCGTGCGAATATACATATATATATGTAACATCGTTGACCGTATCGCTCGCCGTTGGGATTTGCATTGGGGCTTTAATCGATCAGCGCGCACGTTACGCCCGCGTAAATCTCCGGTACGTATGTACATTCGCGCGCGTTTATCGAGAGGCCTCCAGCTGAATTCGGAGCAGCCGGGCTGACGTCGTCCGGAGGGAAAGAGATAGATAGAGAGAGAGAGAGAGCGGGAGAGAAAAATCTCGTCGCACCGCGCACGATGGACGTTCCAGCGTCGTAATTGTGCGAGAGCAACGCGGCAAGGGCACGACGACGGCGTAGCCGACGCACTGCCGAGTCTGACGCAAGGCCGAGATCGCGAGGGCGAGGCGAATTCCTGCGGTCACCAGTTGCACGACACCGCCAACGCACCTTTTGTTGAAGGGTCGAACCCTCACGGCCACCTTCACCGATGCCATGGTCCCGCGAGGAGGAGCGCATCGGGCTCGAGACGTGGGGACGCGAGATGTGATCAACGCCACCGCCGTTTGCTCGCGGCGACGAGACGCGAGAGGGTGGCGCGAGGCTCCGTCCTCGGGAGCGCGTGGCGTCGCGACGGCGTTACGTTACGTTACGACGCGGCGTGGCGTGGCCTACGGAAGACACTGGCGTCCTTGTCGAGCCTCGAGCGCGCCCGGCAGCAGCGACATCGCCGAACTCTCCTCCCCACCCGTTTGTGACTCACGGACGACCGCGAGCGACTGACCGACTGCGCCGCTGCGCCGGCCGCCGCTGCGCCGAGCCAGTCGAACGGGGAGGGGGGGGGGGGGACGGACGTGCGCGCGCATGCGTGTTTCCCGCGCAACTCGATCGCGCCAGCCTATTTGCTCGGGGAACGTCGAGGGCGAGCCGTAGGAGATATTCGAATTAATACCGGAACATATTGAAAAGAGAACACATTCGAGAGAGCGGCGTGAGTGTGTCAAGGGAAAAATGGTGTGCACGTATACGCTCTCGAATCGAGCGAATGCGAAACTGTTAAAACTGTGTTGAAAATGAACAGCGAGGAACAGCGAGGGAGACCTCTCCCTCGCTTCCTTTTCGGCAACTCATAAGTATCCGCGCAACTTGTATTGTATCATTCGATTCTCCATAACTTTCCGCAGACCAATATGGCCGCCCCAGATCTGAATAGTATATAAAACGCCGAGTCAAAGATACATTGGATGTCGGTGTATCCGTCGGTATTGCCGAGTTCGGCGAATTGAATCCGAGGAGGAGCGCTCGAAGGAGACGCGCGCCGTAGACCGGGCGAGAGCCACCTCGAGAGCAGATGACGGTTTTCCTACACGGCGCGATGACGTCATCGGCGGCCGTTGGCACGAGCGCGGGCGGAGAAGGCCGAGCCGCGCCACCCACGCCAGCAGTGATCGCAGAATCGAATTCGCTCTGCGGTTTTTCGAGCGCATAACGGCGGTCGCGGATCCGCGTCATCGTCTTGTTGCCAAGCCCGGAGAGGTCGGCGCGATTTCCACCTGCCGTGGATACCTTTGCAGGCGAAAAAGTTACGCGGCAGCGCGACGGGAGCGCCGGGAATAGGAAAATCCAACTGCTTTAGAGCGAAAGGCGTTATTCTCGGGATGAAAGACGAATGTATTTCACGTTCGACCGTGTCTCTCGACTTGTCGAGCTGATCGGGTTTGGTGTTGCTGTCTCAAATTTTTTATATTTGCGATACCAAAAGTAATTTAACGGGGCATAAACATATAGTCGTAAGGAATCAGAATATTTACTTTGGTTACGTTCCACGATTAGCCTTCTTTTCCGAGAAAAGTTTTACTCGACATTCGATTCGACATTAATTTAAAGGTGTCGATGGTCGATTCAACATCGTTTCGATATCGATCGGCAAATCATTTCTCGCTGGGTCCGATTCATTTCTCGAGTAAAACTTTCCTCCGAGAAAATGTTTCGGAACGTGACCTTGGATAAAAGGCCCGAGGTGTTCGTCGAGGAAGTCGCCGCTAATTGAGAGACGACGAATGATGAACCGCTATAAGTAGCACAATACATTGACGCAATGTTGGGAAATACTGTAAATCTAGTATTCCCAATATTGGTCCAATATTGTAAGCTGTTTAGCAACTCAGACAACATGCATGTCTAAACGACGTCTTAAAGACGTCTTAAAAGCGACATCTTTAAGACTTTACTATAAGACGTCTATAAGACGTTAGAAAAAAACGTCTTAAGACATTGTCAAAAAGACGTCTTTATGACGTCTTTATAAAAATATAAAATATTGATTATATGTCAAGTAGTGTTTATACATATAACCTTTAAAGTTCGAATTAATACATTCGTTAAAGCATCTGTGACATATTGCTAAGATGTTTGAAAGTATTTTAAAAATTAGAAAAGTTTGTGAAATTAGAATAATGAGATTTGTAGTGCAATATGTAGTGTATAACGATTGTGGCAGTTGTGACAGCCACCCATAACCAGAACTGCAATGCACATTACATGACAGCTTAGAGTATCGATTACTTTCAAGGAGGTGCTTAGCAACACAAAATATTCATAAATTAATCCGCTAGGAGGAGATAATTTTTAAAAGTAACTCGCATTTAAAAATTGTTGAAGAATGGGATATAAGGAGGTCTATCAATGGCAGAATTTTAGAAAAATAATCGTAATTCCTCAGCATACTACACCTGAAAGTAGTAATCGCAACTTCCAAGAGAAGCTTAGTTCTCATTCCTATAGAAGAGGAAGTAACTCTTCGATGTCCGCTTCACCGCGGCCTAAGTACAAAAACCAGAAATTGCGTAATATCGAGATACGACCTTGCGAAAGAGATCAATCGATATGCCTATCACGAGACACGGTAGTGTCTCGCGCCAAGTATAAGCGACAACAATTAAGCGACAAGCTAAAACCACGCGCGCGACACCGACCGTGTAGTTTACGCGAGTACGCGAGTTGACGGGCCCTCAGAATTTCGGATCTCAACAACGGCTGATCCGACAAACTTGAGACTGCGCTTAATCGATAGCTTGGGTACGATTTGCATAATAAAAGTGTTTTTACTTTTCTCCTACGTGCCCCATAATATAGTCTCGAGGACGTCTTTTGGATTTGTTTTCAAGACGTCTTAAAGATTTCTTTAGGACAAGTCTAAAATACGTCGAAAATCGGGACATAAGACGTCTTTAAAACGTCTCTCTGACAACTTCATAAGACGTCTTAGAACTATTTAAGACGTCTTTAAGACGTCATAATGTTCTCTGGGTAATATTGGTCTAATGTTGCATCAATATTAGACCAATTGTTATTACATTCTTAAATATTGGCCAATGCACTTCCAATATAAATCTAATATTATATAATTATTATTGTGCAATATTTATATTTATTTTATAGGCAATATTGAGAAATACTGTAAATCTAGTATTCCTAATATTGGTCCGATATTGTAAGATGTCCGCCTTTTCTTATTTAGCCAACATATCTATTTAGCAATATTGCTCTAATATTGATGCAATGTGTTGCTTTCTTAAATCTTACGTCTTAAAGATCCCATTGTAGACGCTGCATTAGACATGCTTGCTACCTGGGATCGGATTGACGTAACCGGTGTTTGCGTCGCACCGGGGCTGCTGCGCTTAAAGCGTGGCGCGCTTCCGGGAGACTAAATACGGTCCGCGGGGACGGCGACGTCCTCTGATGCATCCCGCGGTCTTGCCGTTGACCGCGTAATCGTCGCGTCGCTCTATGCTAATGCGGGCACGCGCGCAGAGGAGGGTCGAACGAGTCTCTCGGCGACGTGATCTAACGTGGACGCTCGGGAGCTCTCGGAGAATACGGATGCGATTCCAGGAGAACCCGTTTACCTATCGCGGAGAGGAAACGCAGGGATACGCGACGCCATCTTCCAACTCGTCCGACAACTCCGTTCGTATTCCGGGATTATTTATTCTCCGAACCGACGACGTGACCGCGAGGAGAGCGTTGGCCGGTATTCATTGCTCGTTTTTCCCAGTGAGAAATGATTCGTCGAGACGATGTCGGATCGACATCGATCCTGCCAAATTCGACATCGAGTGACGAATCATTTCTCGCTGGGCGCCTGGATTTAAAGTGGCTCCTGCCATAAACCAGCCGTTTAAGTATATTGTAGTTGTAAGTTTTATCTATCAGTACAGGAAACTTTAGACCCGGTCGCCGATGTAATAAAAGGAAGAAAAAATGTTAAAGTTGCACTCTTTAACATACAAGGATTGTGGACTGATCACTCGCGGCAGCACTTTGAGGATTAATATCATTTTATAGAAAAAGTAGATCTTAACAAAAAACGAGATAAACATAGTAAATGTTACACGGATTCGAATGCGCTGTTAAATATATGAGGTCACCGGTCTCTGCGAGCAAATACTTATTGGCAAAGTTAAAAGCTACGATGTTTTAAAGAAATTTGAGAGCTCTTTGAGACTTGACAACATCACATATATTTTTAAATAATGCAGTAAGTGATATTCTTTTATGAAAACAGTCATAAGAATTTACAAAAATAAAAGGGGCCCCGCCAAAGCACCCATAGTAACCGCTCCTTCGTGCAGGAGCTACCTTAAGTTCGTCTTGAGTGCAATTAAAAAATGTTATAAACCAATCACAGAGTCGCATTGGCACCTTGGGACCGTGAATATCGGCCGTTACTGCGTTATCTTGAGGGAACCCCAGCGAGAAATGACTCGTCGAGATCGAAATCGACATCGGCACCGTCAAATCGACGTCGACTCAGATTGACGAATCGTTTCTCACTGGGGCGCGTTTAAATTGTAAAATGCAATTGCCCATAAAGCCTCGTTTCTTCGGGGAAAAGCTGCCAGCTGAAAACATCACGTGCAAGATATTTTATTCTTTTCACGAACGATTATTTCCCTTTAAACCGCGCGATGAATCGGACTGAAGATAAATAACAAAGAAATTGACATCGATATAAGTAATGTATTATACATGTACGGAATACTTTAGACGTGCGCCGGATGCTCTTCCGGCGGCCTCATACGTGTCTAGGACAAATTTACCATCGCTCTTCCTCGACGGCACGTTTCTAGGAAGGGGGGACCGTCGGCCGAGTCCTTCCCCGAATTCCTCGTCTTACGAGAAAACATACGGGGGATAGTTTGAAAGGTATGTAGTATTCCCGAGCGATCTGAATACGTTGACAGTAAACTTTGAGACGAAAACTTTTGCGCTCAAACATTTTTTAATGTCCTCTCGTTATATACAAATCTCTTCTGAAATCGGTAAATTGACCTTTTCCCTAGTAGCACAGTGCGCTGGCTAAACATTGGCTAGACACTGGTCCAATGTTGGTTATATTAGAAATGCGTTGGCCGATATTGTCCAACGTAAAGCCAATATTGGCCATGAAATATATTGCACGATAATAATTATATAATATTAGATTTATATTGGTAGTGCATTGACCAATATTTAACAATGTAATAACAATATTGGTTTATTATTGATGCGATATCAGACCAATATTGCTAAATAGACATATTGGCTAGATAAGAGGCGTCCATCTTACAATATTCAATATTGGGGATACTAGATTTGCAGTATTTCCCAATATTGGCCATGAAATAAATATAAATATTGCACGATAATAATTATACAGTTTTAGATTTATATTGGAAGTGCATTGGCCAATATTTAACAATGCAATATTATATCAATATTGCTAAATAGATAT